CCAGTTATTCAAACATCATATCATGGTAGCCCACAAGCCAACCGCCACTCTGAGGAAAACATTGTCAAAACCAAAAGGAAAGCGAGAGACACTAGAAAGACGGAATGTCGTATATAGAATAAACTGCGCAAACTGTGAAAAGCACTATGTGGGACAAACAGGAAGGAAGCTGTCCACCAGGATACATGAACACCAAAGAGCGTGCAAGAAGCATTACGCAACCTCATTGGTTTCAGCACATGTGGATGAAGAGGGACACAGGTTCGACTGGAACAAGGTAGAGATCTTGACCGGAGGAGAAACACAAAAAGGGAGGGAGTTTCTCGAAGCCTGGTTCTCAACGACGAACTCAATCAACATGCATATCGACCTCGATCCAATATATCAACCGCTGAGACAGAGAGAGTTCAAGAGGATCAACAACCGTTGTCCGAAAGAACCCAATCCAACACATGCACAATGAACGGCATGGTCAATATGAGCCCAGACTACTCACCCGCACATCTTGCACCAATCCGAGTGCCATAAGCCCAACTACGTCGCAACAACGTTTCCGCAGCCAATGACAAGGACTGGAGCACAACCGCTGAACACATGGATTCACCAATGAGATCGAGGCAAAATTAATAGCCTCGTATGTCTATATAAGGAACGGAGTGATTACTGACAGCATCCGTTATTGGGTTTGCTTTCTACCAGCTACTGCTACTTCACTGCTATCAATCCCGCACTGAAGATGCCACCTCGAATGGTGGCGAAACGTCTGCAACCAAGTTGCCCAGCTCGGAGAACTCCACAACAACTGAGCAAGCCTCCCGAGCTACCAATATTCCAGTTCCTTTCGTTGGAAATGGCTCTTTGACCGATGGGGGATATCAATTTAACTCAGTGCTGGGGTCCTCAAGTCTGGTTTAGGAAAGACCACAAATATCATTGGATAGGAACTCCAAGCTATGCGCTATACCAGCCTTCTGCTCAATCCGCTTGACTCTAAGTACATTGACTCATGGTAGGCGGAACGAGGATTGTGGTCGTAGCCGTACCATTGGTCGAGATCAGTGAATATTGGTGGAACCATCGAAGGTAAAATCTTGAAAACACTAGTCGACGGGTAACGGAAAACACTGGTTGTTAACGTGAACATTCGGCGTGTACTGATTACGTAATACCGGTGCCGCACGGTATAGAACAGTCGGTGATTTCTTCTGAGTGCGCGATACTACTCAGTTACCTTAGCCAGAGTGCGGGTTGTCTTTGGAGACACCACGCAGAGTCTTTGCTTGATTGGCCTACTTGCAATGCAGCAGAGCGAAGTCAAGGAATCGCTCCATTTGGCAGCTATTGACTGATTTTCTTATTTCGTACGTCTTTGGTTTGTTGAGGTAGCAGAATAACGGCATGAATTTGTTAAAGTGCCGTGTTACACAGATTAAAGGAGGGCAAGTGACTTTAGTGGTGAGCCACCCACCACATCGCGGTGCTGTTAAGCAAATATTTGTTGCTTTTTGTTGGGAAAACATTTACGAAACGAAACCCATAACGTCCTCTAACGCTATCACCGAACAATTCGCTGGAACATGGTAATCTCGAACCCCCCAAGGTGGGTAGTTCGACAAGCCAACCACCAACAGCTACTGTACCGGTTTCTCGTGACTGCCTCTGGCTGTACAACATTTGAGTGACAACCAGTGTCCATAAAAATGCGAGATCATATGCCACTCGTCACTAAGGCAAGTTACATTGATCTGTAGTTGGCCAACTACAATTCGTGCACCCGCGTTTCGTGAATCCATCCGCATGGCTCCTTTGTCATAACAGTGAGGTCAACAGTTTACCACGGTGAGAGCACTGAGGTGAGAATCCACCAATTGAAATGATTAATCAAAAATATGTCAACGAGACGAAGCATTAGCGTTGTCCGGCCGAATACCACCTTGTTGGGGCTATTTGAATCACCTTATAATGAGAACAATACAAAACAGCGGCCATTCGATTACTCCGCGGTGATAACGTCACCAAGTAACCTTCATAGGGCTTCACCCAACCGGTTGAGTGCCTTACCACAGTGAGACTGTGAGCTCACATTTCGTCTCTCCGTTACTGTGTTCATCCTGTCCACAGTTTTCTTAACCTCGAACCGACTTCGTAACACTTGCATGGCCTGTTTCACCGCCATAGTTCTCTCCTCCGTCTCCATCATGGGTTGCATAACAGCACGAATGTATACTCTATAGTCCCGCATTTGGCCTTGCTTGATCGCTTTCTGTTGTCTGAGTATGGCAACAACACTCGGGCGTATGCGTACCAGTGTGTTCGGCGAAGAACTTGAGCACCTCCGTCCTAGTTATGGCTGCTCTTCACTGTATCTTGGCCGTGCATCAGGTCTATTCACCCACCGTCCCCATCACTCTTTATTATATTGCTATTCACAGCTGCATGTCACCTGATATCAGCTCCGCATATCACACTTTTCTTCAAATTTCAGGCAATATTGTTCATCGGGGCAGCACGGTTCTAGGTGTTAACAAGGCCGGCTGGACACTTCACTCGGCTCTGCACACTGCTCGTCCGGATATTAACTGCATTGTTCATGTCCATCTACCAGATGTGATCGCTGTACGTTTGTCTCTTTGTTTTTATGTGCTGTGCTCTGTTTTTCTCATCTGCGCACACACGCTTCCACCCCGTGCACATCGCTATTCCCAGGCACTTCCGTCGTATCATTTTGCAACTTCACAGCTAACACCGCATACCTCGTGTCTACTTGTAGTGCCCACGCAGTGCTCCCGTGTTGCATAATCCTTATTTCTCAGCTATTTCTATTGAGGCAGCCCCAGACAACTACTCAATACCAGTCATATCTCCACTGTCACTAAAGTCATTTGGAAATAGCGGATGCCAACGGTCACATATCTCCCCGTCCTATCGGCATATGCTAAACTTAAGCAATACCAATACATGTGTATGTTTCACCGCGTTTCTAGTGTGTCTGTCTGTCGTGTCTGTTTACACGTTCGGTTGGTTTGGCTACAATACAACGCAAGCACATAGAAAGGTGCCTTTCCTAGAGCGCCGATCAACGAGGCTCGCAATCAGAGACTAAAACACCTTAGAGGACCGAGGGAATGCGCGCCACTGACGAGCCCCAATAGGGCGAAACGCGTCTGGCGCTTTTCCGGACTAGGCTCTGCTATGTAACTTGTGAACTATTGGGATGAAAGCCTTATCAGACATGTCACAATAGTCAGAACAAACTGATGTCTAACGGTCAACTTGAAACAGGCAGGGAACGCATCGATTAACAGATTAATGTTGACCTGAAACTAGGCTCTCGTCATTCAACCTATAACTAGAACGGCTTGTGTCAATCCAATGTACTTACGTTTTCGTGTGCAAGAGACTCCAGCTTGCAACGTATTTGCCTCTATGCTCTTCCTTTACTGAAGGTTCGCCTACCCCAGCAGTTCGAAACAACGTGGAATAGTAGCTATACTTATTTAGATCATTTTATATTACCTAACTGCTCAATAGAAGAGAGAGTAACCTGTTTTCATGTTCACCATCTCCAGAGCTACCAGTTGGATGCGTAACTTTACTTGCCAGCCCTACCTTTACTCCCACTGTTGTCCTCCTTTGAGATCAATACTTGACATCTATTTAGGTTTTCTGACCAGCACAATACATGGAGCGAATGTGTGGGTGTGCGCATCACTCTGATGATCTATCGAACCGCAGGACATCTTTCGATGCCTGGATTATTGCCGCAGTGCTTGGTGCTCATTATTCACCTGAGTGGGCCTCGTTCCGTAAAATCTACTCTCGAAACTGGGCCTTAGGAAGAGGGACTAGAGTAGACTTCATACTTTCCTGCCGCACATCTGGATAGTCAGCGATGAATTACCATTTATTATTTCTCCGCTTTAGAGTGACGTATACACATTGCCAGCGACGTGCAGTTACAGACTGTTGACCACCATGTGAGGACAGGGCAACTCTCTCGGATTCCGCTGCCACGCGTCGAAGTCCGCCATTACCCCCACAGAGAACTCAGCGTCAGACAAAATTTAAGCAGGCAGTTTAATCAGAAGACAGCAAACTCGCCACTGGGACCAGTTGCAATTCTTGCCCTGTAATATTTCGATCGAAGCACCAAGTGGGTCACTTTGATTCCAGCCTGGAATCGGGCTGAACTATCAGCATCCGGTCCGGTCGTCCGCGACTTCAGTTCCCCTTTTCCGCACCAACGTTGTTGAATCTTACACATCCTATACCCCGCAAGCAACGCAACATATTCCGCGTTTGCTGACATGAGTGAGGCTTGCCAGACTCAGTGCAGTTGCTTCAGCCTGATTTTTAGTATCGCAAGCTGACCTGATTCCCTTTTGGCACTCATCTGCGCATCTTGATGTCGCGGCTTCGCAAGTGTCAGTCAACACCAGCAATGCTCATGAACTCGAGGACATCTGAGCGAAATGGTGCAGATCCTTGAAAACATCGCAGTGACCGTGTGAGCCAGCTTCAGTTACCGCACGCCCTCTATCGCTTGTGCACCCGTCGAGATTTATGCATAGATCGCTTACCCCATTTTTTGTTATGAGTTGAAGGGCCAGCGAAGAGATGGTGGGAGCTCTGTGGATGGCTCGGATGGGATTGACTCTATCACCTCAAGACCATTAGAACAGCAATACGTTACCGTCTGCTTGAGCCAATCAGTTGTCTTTCCATCAAGAACTCAGTACATGCATCATGAGGCCCCACAACGGAACACTCCATGGTAGAGTCTATGCAAAAACTGAATAGAAACGGAGTAATGGGGTAACTAACTTGCACCACTTGTTTCTGGCAATTCACTCTACACCGCGGTGCAACTTGTTGTGTTTGAGCGCAGATCTCATGGTTTCCCATATATCCTTTGAATACTTTTTCTGCAAAGTATGTTGAACAGAGCAGGACGATTGGCTGTCTAAGGTTAAAAGAACGTGACCTACGAAAACATGTCTAAAGTGGTTAGTTTCGAGTGAACGTTACTACCCACATGCATGCAAATTGTTACTCGTCACCAGTCGAAATAATCATAAATATGCACCGCGCAGTGCCCCAATCGATCCTGCCTCTTCTCTGTCTCAGTTCTACCTCAGATGCTGACGTGGTTTGTGGTATTTTCAACGGCTATGGTAGTTTACGGTGCATCGTCGTGTATCGTAGAACCAGCACGTGCTCTAACCCAGAGAATTCGTATGCCTTATCGTTCTTTTCTTACTTGTTTTACTGGAAACTTCTGCGCCACGGGTTCGAGTCCCAGCCAGCGCCTGGGTTTGGGTGCCCACGCGCAACCACTCACAGTTTGATGGCACTCGTGCCTTTGCACATGACTTGGCCGGATATCAGCCCGTGCCATACCCACCCCTCCTTGCTCCTCAGTGTGATACATTTGCCTTGACTACCCGGTTATGCCCTACACCTTGGGTCACTTTGTCCGTCTGTAATGTCAGTCATCAAGTATCGTAATGACAATCCCTGTTTGTATTGGACAGCAGGCTTCTGTTTCTTCTTCACATCCTCATAACCTAGTGTCGATTGACTCGTGTTTGAGCCACACCCCATAGTTCTACAGTGTCAGGTGTCGTGTAACAATTGCACAGTGTATGATGCTGGAATTTGATACGTTTGACGAGTTCCTGAGCCTCTTCACGCACATGTATCGACCCCTTCTACTGCGATTACAACTGCACCTAACCGGTTACGGCTCGTGCATTCGGAACACCAGCTGATGGTACACAGAAGAGGGTGTTGTCACTTTTCCATCCGAATCGCAATCCTGAGGTGTGCATTTCCACCTCTTCGTTATGTTGCTTGCAAACCTGAATATGATCCCACCATACTTTCCATCGCCTAGTTCTTGGCCGCTGGAATCCATGGTTCTCAATGTGCGTGAAATAACGGAAACCAACGTTTTGGGAGCAACTGGTCATTCCTCTAAACCAATCGACACTCGTGTCTAAAAATGCACCATGTGTGCAAAACCATTGACAGGTGTTGACCAGACGTTCCGGAGATAGTTCCAGAGCGATTGGCTTAAATTCAATTTCATCGTATCACGGTCCCCTAGCATCGGTGAGACCCAGTACGTATCCACCGACAGTGGTGTCTTACACCATTTTAGTACAAATATCTGGATCTCCTGTACCATTTCTCTCACTGCGTGTTACCTATTACTCGCTATCATTTTTCGCACTACTCTTATCAGGTTTCTTGCATCCGAGCCGGTCTTCTGCCTGTCAGTCCAGAAGCCAACGAGTTGCTTATCTCTAGTGGTGTGCGCTATCACGAGTACCGGGGAATTCTTGTACAAGATTCTGAGAAAGAGTCCATCCAGACCGATCTGGGTCCAAAAGCCAAAATTCTTTTCCTGCGTAATCACGGAGTTGCCGTTGCAGCGTCGGACGTCCCGGAGGCGTGGTATTTGTTGAAACGGGTTGTTGCTGCTTGTCAAACACAGGTACTTGACATCACGCTGTCATCACTTTTACTAATTATTTATCTACCGGATTATTTTGTAATATAATCGATGTCCCATCTGCACCGACCGCTTTCTTTGTTCCCTTACAATCGTTCTCGCTCATCGCGTTTCTTTCGGATTCCTATATACCAAACCTATACCTATGTAACCTGTACTTATACCTACATACCAAACTGACTGACAACACTCGTAGCTGAGTTTTGTTGACTACAACTCACTGTTATCCGTGTTTGCATTCTGTACCTCAAATGCATCATCTCCGTTCGGCGGGTAAGTCGGAGTCAAGTCAAGAAGCTGCTTTATACACCCAGTACGGGTGCCGTAACACACGCTTTCAGAGGTACAGCATCACATAAAAACGATTCAACAAACCGGATCAACACTAAAGAGCACTATCGTTACTTCTTGGACAACTTTGTTTTGGTCTAGCCAAAGTCGCGCTAGGTGTGGGATAACTGACAAACGGTACGCTCGTGTACGAGAATAGATCGATTTGTATTTCTGTCTAGTTTCCGAGGTCGACACACATTCCTACAATACACAGTGCAATTGGTGACTTGTGTCAGGAGTACTGTTGATGCTAGTCTATTGCATGAACCAACCTGAGTGGATAACAAGTATATCAACGAACATCAACTTTGATAGACCGCTGCTTCGCGATGAGTTTTTAACGAATTGGAGATTGATCTGAAATCCTTGCCCAAAGGACCAGGAAAATTACTGCTGAGCAAGCAGTACGTCCAATGTGGAAGAACACAATCAGTAACAAAGCGAGTTATCAAATCATGGGGGACAGAGAAAGCTCGCGAGCGTGAGGCGTAGGTCGCTAATCTCCTGACTTCTTTCAGTGTCTTTTATATGCTGTGACCAACATAAATCGTAGGCCAGTTAGGCGACTGCCCGCCTCC